AAGAAGTCTCATTGTGATGAGTAAAGTTTACCTTGCCTGGATGGGCAGCTCTCTGGGTGCTCAGCACCCCCAAAGCTCTGATCCTAGAATCGCCCCTGCCCTATGTTTATGTACCACGCTGGTACTTCGTCTATTTGATACTGACACAGGAAATCATTCAGCCTTTATCAGTTTAATGTCTGTGAATGGCTTTTGTAAGTCGGTTACTGTGAAAGAGCTCGGTTGCATTTTTCCTGTTGCAAAACATCTGACGATCACCTTCATTTCTAAACTTACAGCAGCTAGTGATGTGGGTGACTCTGTCATGAGATCTACCACAAACATTATCCCGGCAGTAGTCCTTCCTCTTTGCAATTTTTTTTAATTTCTTGAGAACATTGATGGCATATGATTGCATGTCTGTGAGTGCAACCAAGGTTCTTGGTAGCAAATTTACATCATATATTAGTCAGCTATAACCACAAACGTTAAATAAACTGCTGTGTTCCTTTTACCTCAAAGTTCCGATGTGGGAACTGACAGTTGTTTTAGTAGTAGAGGTAGTTGGAAATGCAAGAACAAACAAGCTTTGCTCCATAGCAAGGCAGAGCCTTTCATGCATCACTGGCAATACAGCAATGTTTTTATGGTTAAAAACACATTCACAAATAAAGCATGGTGAGAAAATCTGGTCACTGCTCTGTATATGGCTTCTAGAGTGAGTGCAAGTTTTACTCGTACGCATGTACACTGCCGCAGTCTTGGATTGCAAAGTCAGGTGGGTGGGGCTTCTCTGACTTGAGTATCAATGTAAATAGAACACAGCCTATGACTCATTCATGAAGTTAACTGTCCCTACTTCTCCTTCTCCGCCTGCCTTCATCACTAAATGTGCAGACAGGAGAGGAAAAAAAAAGCTAAATTTGCAGTGCCAGTCGCAGGCAACTAGCAGCTAACAGCATTTTTTTAAGGCGGAAGTCAATCAACAAAATGTAATTATCAATGTGACAGACACATTAGTGATGGTTGGATCAGCTCAACATAAAAAGACAGATTATACAAACTGGTTTATTTAATTTAATCACTTAATAATGATGACATTAATCATCACTTATTGTATGATTATTGTACTTATTGTATTTTGGTGAGCTTCTGTAGCTCTACGCTGTTTTTTCTGCCTCTTCAAAGCCCTCATCAGCATTTGTTGTAGGCTTACTGCTAAGGGGTAAAATCCTTTATGAACAACTCATCTATGACTACTCATATGCCAATCAGTGGCATCCTGCGCTCTGACTAATGTTCACTTCAATCACTCACCTTAGTTAAGAAAAGTGCCCCCCCACACCCCACCCCAAAGTTATTTTGCATATCATTGCTTAAAATTGCACATCTGTAGACTAGGAAACTGTCTGCCTGTCTGAATATGTGCTCGGATTCTAGCGTTGATTGTTCTAACTAGATACTTCAATGAATGTATTCTTTTCCATTTCAGGACCATCATCCCAAGAAAATTTTCTTCTGTCGTTTCCCTTGTTATTTCCCAGAATGGCTTACAAAACTATGTGAGAATGTGAACTGCAAATTCCCTGAAGCAGCACTGGAAAAATAGTATTCCTGTAACAAAAGCCACTTTCCCATGCTGTTTTTGAGCTTGAAGGCGGAGAAAGTAACCCTTTGTTAAAACTTCTTGTCAGTTGACAAACTGGTGGCTTTGATAGTATCTCTGAGTCCGCAACATGTGTAAGAAGAGGTACTTCTAGGTGGGGAGGGGCAGAAAGTCTGCATTATGCTACCACATCCTTGTAAAATTGCTGACATTTGAGATAAGCGTAAAGTCAATTTCTTTAAATGTCGCTGAGCAAAAATGGTCTCAGCATGAATTGCCACAAAGCCTGTGGTTGGCCACTAATGAGCACAAACAAAACGGTGGTTGAAACTGCAAGAAGCCATGCAAATGGGTACTAGCTTGGGCTGCTATTCCTGTGTCGATGTAGCATTTGTTGCATTTTTTTGTGTTCTCATTTAAAAATCTGCTCACACTTTGTCAAATTTAGTCATTACTGTTTATGCAAACTGTAAGCATGCAACAGCCTGAGCCTCTGTCTGTAATCAAGTGTTGACAACACAACAATCAGACGACATCCGAGCAGGACCAATATACAGTAGCAGCAAAGGAAAAGCAAATAGTTCTTATCTGTTACTCTGTTATGTTTTCCAGTGACACATTTAAGTCCTGGGTTGTATTCTATCGGGAGTTCTGCGAAATCTTCAAAAGCACTAGCCACTAAAAGCACATTTGAGCAAACCTTATTATGGCTAAATTTCTACTCTGGCAAAATAAAAAGGCCAGTGTTATCATCTTATACATCCAGGTGGGATTTCGAGCTGTAAAATAACAGCGGTGAGAAATTGTCCGAAAGCTGACAGAGAAACACTTTGCCTGGTGTGTGAGTGAAGGGATAGGTACAACTGATAAGGGATTGGGGGAAGGATCATGACTCTGACTTCAGCATCTAAACACAACCTGCCTTACCCTGTCACGCTTTGTTCCCTTTCCACGGTCACTATGACAACCTGCTCTTGTGCCAGACCTTTTAAAATTGACTTCAATTTACGATAATGGAGCTGAAAGAAAGGGGAAAATAAATTATATACAAAGAAAGATATATGGCACAATATGTGTCTGCATAGGATAAACAATGCTGCTTTATTGCGACACGCTTCCCCCAACACCTCTCCCACCAGCTCGGCACGTGACAAATTGATCCACTTCTCCTGCTCCTCTCCAGTGTGTGTTTTTGCAGGAATAGGAGACAAATCATGCGTGGGCTGCGCCAGCAGCACCCCTGCTGGTTCGGGCTCCCCCATTCACCACATGACCGCTCTGCCCGTCACAGGCATTGGCCAGGTAGTGAGACATAACCCAGAGCACACAGCAGACTACAGGGTTTACACGGTGCACACATTAAGCTGCCTTATTCTTTCCTTTTGCTTTAACTTGCTCACTGTTTGGGGTCGGGGACCTCACAATAAACTCAAAACCTCTTCATCTACGGTTGGAGCCTCACTTGCAATGGCTTAAAGTCGTTAGACAAGGTCGGGGTTAATGATCGAATATCATTAAACTACATTAACGTCCTAATTTAAGCCTCCAAATACGCCTCCACGCTTGGCATACAGAAGCACAGTCTCAGAGCACACAGATGAGTCAAGAAAGTCACACCGAGATTTGTTCTGTTTAAATACAACACTATCAGAAGCAGTTTCTGTGGAGCATTAGCCCCAGGGCAGAGCAGCACACCTTGCGTCCTAGCCAATTTGAAAAAGTCTATTTGTCGACTCGCGGCACGAACTACACTTAATTCTCCAGTTATTGTTGTTTATTTTATACCATAGTTTCTGCTTAAGCTATAGCACTCCTGTTAGATGTGGAGTATTTGTTGGCTATAACTTCACTGATCTGTGCTCAGGCTCTCAGCAGCAGCACACAGGAAATTACCAGCCAGCGTCACCTTAATCCAGTTCATTATTTTTAGGCAAGTGCACTGACACAGCAATAGTTTATCTTCTCGATTCAGATGGGCAAAAATCCCCCAAAATGTGGTGTTTTTATACCCCACTAGCAGGGTGGTAGCCCATCTGAGCGCCACTGATCACTGGGCCAAAGCTAATGTTTAAATGAGATGTGTACCTGGAGAGGGTTTAATGTCAGCCCTGATGCACGCCATCATCTATTTACTCTCTCCAGTTCAAATGGGTTCTCTCGTAGAGTGGTGCTGCGGAGAGGCTTGTTGTTTCGAGGGGATGACCCAAGAGAACCGCGGAGGTTCGTGATGCCTGGGATATCGCCATGGCAACATGGTTCAATTAAGAGTGGGATGCCGGCTGTTGAAAATGGAGCGTGCCGAATATTATCGCTTGAAAATTTGCAGCAATTCAAGTCTACACAGGATTACATTTTAAATACGACTGCCTCAGGTGTGCCAAGGTGTAGGGTTTCCCTATTTTTAGAGATCAATATAAAGTACACTGAGCATGCTTCTTATTCCAGTCTAGCAACAATTAAAAAAACAAAACCTCAATCTCATCGACTAAATTGCTTGGAAACAAAGGAAAAACCCAAAACACTTGCCACAAAAACCTTAGACACACATACACTTGCAAGGCATTTGTGCAGCTTTTTATCCAAAGAGATTCAACACTCACACTCACACACACACACACACACACACACTAAACTGGTTGTCACTCCTGCTCAAAGCTCAGCGGCAGCAGTAAATTAGCATGAGTGAAGGAGCCCAACAGCCTTTGTGCCACAGAGTCCAAAGTCCAGCAGATAACAGCCACTGCTCGCACACAAATAAAAGAAAACTAATATAAAGCTGCGATGAGCCCTCTTACCTTGCCGTCTGTGTTGGGCTCCTTCTTTCCTAGATGCTGTCCCATGCTGCTAACAGAGCCTGTAAGACACACACAGAATGAGTTTACACCAGGGGAAGACTGTAAACAGCATATTATGTGAAGATTACGAACTCCTCCTTATTGCAGCAAGAGAGGCAAGCTCCGGATTCAGTGTGAAACTGTAGCTTCACATACAGCCATAAAAAAGGCACCGGGGTTTTCCCTCCCTTCCATCTCTTAATTGCAGCAATAGCATTTATAAATGCCACAGTTAGAATGTGTGGTCACAGTTGCTCCAAGACTACCAAAACAATAGCAAATAACAACAAATAGCTCTAATTATTAATATCCCAGTATATAACACAAAACTGATTATATACAGCTGAAACTGAGGTGCCCCTCTTATAAGGGTTATGATCCCTGAATCTGTATTTCAGAGGACACAAGAAAAAAAGCACAATACACTGTGTGCATAAAGTGAAAGCAGGTTTTTAATAATTTTCTTATTTTGGTTTAAAATATGATCGCCTAAATCATCTGAAGTCAAAACAAGGGTAGTTTGGAGATGTTGGAAAGCTGTCTGTAAGTGAGAAAAATCCAAAAATACAGTAGATACTATTCAATTCATTGTCCTTCCTCTTAAGGGGAAGAGGAACAGCCAAAAATGTATGGTAACAGGCAGGCAACAAATCTAGTTATTTCAAATGAGATGAGGTGCAACATTTAAAGCAATTCAAAAATGAACCACTGTAGACCTTGTTTGAGCTCAACCCTAGCCTCCTGTTTGTGTTTATAGTTCTGTGTTCCTTCATCCATTCATTTAAATATACTTTCTGCCTGCTGCCAGTAGCTACCTGTCCATTAATGTGATCTTTAAATATTAGATCGCTCTCCACAGTTGCTCCTTCCTGTTATTGCTTTGCTGCAGGGTCTCACATATTAGTCTCATCCTCAACATTATCATCTAGCTAAAGGTTTTCTCGCAATGGGGGGAGAAAAGGAAAGCATCGTAGGGCTTTCTTTTGCAAATAATCCGATAGGTTACCAGATTTATGTGATTACAGACTACAATAGTTCAGTTAATTCTACAACACTCAAAAGTGAGAGTGTATGCGTTTCCCATCACTGTGTTCTTGGCATCAGAAACAAGCATGTGGAGTGATTTGAATAGAAACAGTTAGGGGATACCTTCAGCGGAGATCAGATCTGTGCATTTGATTTTTTTTTTTTTTGAGTGTGCATACAATATAAAAAGGTCACAGAGTCTACACCCCTCTGTTGTCCATGTGGATCTGGAAATCATGCATATCAATGTAACGGGTCAGCTAAAAGTAAGCCAAGTAAACATGTCTAGGCTAACCTTACTGTACTTTAGAAAAGATTAGTGAATCATCTGCCTCCATCTCAGCCTGCCCCTAGCATCCACACCAACCCTCTGCATGTCCTCCTCCATGACATCCACAAACCTCCTCTGTGATCTCTCTTTTCTTCCTGCTTGGCAGCTCTGTATTCAACATCAGAATATCCATCATCCCTCCTCTGCACATGTCCCAACCATCTCAGGCTTGTCTCTTTAAACTGGTCTCCAAGATGCTCAACCTGAATCTAATACATTATTTTTTATGAGACATAAGATATTGTAATACAGTAAGCATTAACAACAGTGCAGTGCTTTGTTTCAACAATTCTCCAAACCTCTGGCAGACTCGACACAGGTGTGCACCTTTGTGTTATAACGGAAAGGGTTCGTCTTTGAGAATGGATACAACACGTCTATTTATTTCCACAGAGAATTGAAGTGAAACCTGATCAAGAGGAATGAGGCGACACAATGTTTTGCTAAGTGTGCCAACATGTGCACTGCAGCGTGAATAATCTATTAAGCTTAAATCTTAAAAAGCCAACCATAAAAATCACAAGAAAGCCGTGTAAATAACAAACAAATGCAAGAAATAATCAAAAATAAACTTCTTTAGATTCTTTAAATGTTTAGGTGCAAAAAGGAGGAACGTGATGAGTAAATGAAGGCCAGAAATCACAACAATTTAACTCTCTGCCTGACACTCACCACTGAAGGAAAAAAAACATCCAATTACACCAAAAGAATATTCTTACTTTCAGATAATCACAGCATGTATTTGGCTTTTAGAGGAGATCTGCACCCATCAGAAAGCCTTTCATCACCTTTTATGGCCTGTCTTCACTTTTTCACATGGCAGTGTGGAAAAGTGCTGTCAGCATGGTTCATGTGGAGGGAAAAAAGGAACGGTAATGTGGTTTATTGATGGTCTATTGACTAGTCAAGAAGGAGAGAATCAACATAAAAAACCAAAAAAAGCCCCAAAGGAATCTTCATTAATTCAAGATTACCATGTGTGTCAGCTGTATTATTTAAATTTCACACGAATTGACATGCTCACATTCTGTGCTGAGAGGTCAATCAATGCAATTGAAGGAAAAAAAAAATGTTGATTGAGCTTTTAAACAATAAAATACAAAACAAAAAACCCAAAACAAATCAATACAGCACATTATGCAAGCACATTTAAATGCCATGTTTGCTTTTTGCAACGGTCAATCCAGGTTAATTAAATATGAGTTTCCTCTGTGCCTGCACTGGAAAAAAAATATCACCTATTGAAAGGTGTTATTATATTCACTGTCGTCAGAAATGGATTTAATGCCAGTAGCGGCATCACAGTGGTTTGGCTTTTTATTTAGGAATGAGTGTAATTAAATTGAAATAAGCTTAGAAAAGTTCATGACTGGAAACCATAAATAATATAGCTCACAAATCTATACCCAGTGGAGCCAAATGAGCTTTTTCAATTGCAAAGTGTCTTGTAAACAGCTATTCTGTGAGCTTGAGTAAATTTCACCAAAAAATTGCAATGTATAAAGGGAGAAGGTGAAAAGTAAGTTTGCCCTGTGTAGTATTTGAAATCTTCTTGTGATCAGAACAACTTGTAAATATAACCTAAGCTTTAATAGTGAATGTTGATAAAATCATTTGTCTCTTTAGCATTTAAATTACAAGCTATTTGCTAAAGCAGTATTAGCAAGAACTAGCTAACCTAGCTAGTTCCAACATCAAAACAAAACAGAACTATCAATACACTTTATGCTAAAATTTCACTTCAAGTATTCTGTGGGCTGTTAAAAATCCTCCCAATCATGTGGCTAATATAAGCTGAACACTAGAACCACCAGTGTGGTCATTTCGACCTCATCCTGCAACAACAGCAGCAAAGGCAAAACAAATAAATAAATTCTTAAAAGAATTAAGTTAATGTAATTAGTTCAACCATTTTTCTCTGATTATGAGTAACTGATATATTATTTCATAGGCAAAAATATTATCAAAGGATAGAACATCTAATTTAATATTACAGAAGAATATTATAGAAAAGTAAACAATCCGCTTCCTGTTTACTTGCTAACTGAAACTTAGCTCTAAGCTACAGCCCTTTTATGAAGAGAATTTCATTTGAAATACAAAGTGGTTGTTTAAATAAGTTATAACCATCCAAACCAGTTTGTAAAAGTGGAAATTAAATCAAATTCATTTCTTGAAGCTATTTTTAATAAGCCAAAAAGATAAAGCAGTTAGCCAAATCATGCTAACACAAGAATTCTAAAGTCAGAGACCACTTTCATTTAACACATTTGTCACTTGGATAATACAAAAATGACAGTTTTAAATATGCCGTTAGAAATCTTTCCTACAACAACTACCGCACAAAAACTTGAATATAACATAAATAACATGATTAAGACAATGCTAGTCACACTAGAACCAATAAAAGACGACGAGGTGAACCGCACCTTCTGTCACACGATGTGCTTCTTACAGTGCACCTCTATGCCATAATAAACACCTACGGACAGTCTCTTTCTGACCTTCATTAGCTCCAGCTAGACTTGAATTTTAAAGTTCCTAATTTTTACAATGAATAAGCATTCACAACACATTCTTTGCTGAGAGCTATATTACTTCTTGCCTGTTTAAACAAAACAGAAAGCTTTATTTTGTTAAAAATGACATGATATTTCTTGTAACAGTGAAAAGGAGGGTTTATACGAGCCTTGGACCAACATTGCACACACTTTCATGACTGTCAGAACTTAAGATTCCCTTTTCATAAAGGAAAAGCAGTAGGTTTTGTAACAGAAGTGCTCTTGGAATTGTATTTTCAGAACAATCTTTTCTGGGCTGCTTAATTTATTGGTTTCAAGTAGCATAAAAGGCTCTCTTCCTTTACTAAGCAAGCACAGATACTGTAAAGCTGTTTATTATATTAACTGTAGGCCTGTGTGCATGAAAGCAGTATTACCTTTGTGCAGCATTTCAAACCTCTAGGATTGTTCAGTCTCCGTGAGACTTCCTCAAACTGACTTTTACAAGATAGTAACTCACAGAAAAGATGGATTTAAGGAGTCAAGTAAACAACATGGCACATTTTTACCCCCACCCTTACCTGTATAGCATGTTAGTTCATCAAAACGTTCCCACCAAGTTTTCCCACAAAGGGAAGTAAGACGGTATCGTGAAACTTTACCTTATTGTTTTATTATTAATAATATTATTATTATTTATGACCGGAGGGATGTTTGTTTTTTGACCAAGCTGCTGGATATCTGGATTTCCCCTTGGGGATAACTAAAGTATTATCTCACTATCAATCATATCTGCTTGTGGATGAAAGCAGCCACAGAAAACTATAAAAATAAGCTGGAAGAAAAACATAATCCCACTGGTTAAACAAAGGGATATAATTAGAGTGCCAGTGGCTGTGCAGTCAGTGTGGCGGAAAAATGTCCGCTGAGGACTCAAATATTTGCTGGATGTGGCGAGGCGTCGCTGGGATTCTCTGCGGCTAAATGTGAGGCCTTACAGCCCGTTCCCCTCTCAGCGTTACACAATCCAAAGCTGAGATCCTGCAAGGACTTGCAAGACAGGACTGTTGCAAAATCGAGTGACAGAGGGAGAGGTGGAAGTGTGTATGTGGAAGGGTGTAACACAAGGCTGCAATTACAACTCAGCAGTAGCATTTAACAG